CTTCTTTACCATTAGGTCTTGAAGAAGCTGAGAAAGCGGGGGATCAAACCGAATTTTCTCTCAGAATCATCTTCTGTGTTAGGATTCCAAGAGTGCAATAGAAGATGAACAGTAAATAAAGACAGAGTATTATAAATCAGTGAATTACTGGAGATAGAGGTTCAGGCCCTGGTTGGGGCACTTATGTGACCTGAAGCAAGCCCTTCCTTTCCCTGAGCCTCAGGTTTTGCTTCTGTGGATGACAGAATTGGACTAGACTTAGCCAAGTCTAAAAGCTAAGGCTCTTCTAGTGCTCAGATTCTAACCAATCTGATTTCCTCTGTACAAAAGGAAGAAACACTCTGTTCTTCCAGCAGTCATTTGAGTTATTATCCACATAACTGGCATAAGCCTCCGTTTTTATTTGGCTTGGCTCACTCAGCTGGGCTAAGATGGATCTTGAGAACAGAACCCTCGTGGTGCCTTAGAGATGCTATAAACGGGTAGGATGTGATCCCTGAACTGAATATTTAAACACAAGGTGTATGTAAAGAATTTTTTTAAGTTTTTAATTTTAATTCCAGTATAGTTAACATGCCGTGTTATATTCATTTCAGGTATACAATATAGTGACTCAGCAATTCTATACATTACTCAGTGCTAATCAGAAGTGTACTTTTTTTTTTAAAGATTTTATTTATTTGAGAGAGAAAGAATGAGAGAGAGTGTGCACATGAGAGGGGGCAGGGTCAGAGGGAGAAGCAGACTCCCTGCTGAGCAGGGAGCCCGGTGCGGGACTCAATCCTGGGACTCCAGGATCATGACCTGAGCTGAAGGCAGTCGCTTAAGCAACTGAGCCACCCAGGCACCCATAAGTGTACTCTTTAATCCCCATCGTCTATTTCCCCCATCCACTGCCCCTCTGGTAACCATCAGTTTGTTCTCTGTAGTTAAGAGTCTGTTTCTTGGTTTGTCTTTTCTTTTCTTTGTTCATTTGTTTTGTTTCTTAAATTCCACATGAGTGAAATCATATGGTATTTCTCTTTCTCTGACTGACTTATTTCACTTAGCATTATACTCTCTAACTCCATCCATGTTGTTGCAAAAGGCAAGATTTTATTCTTTATCATGACTGAAAAATACTCCGTTGTATTTATATACCACATCTTCTTTATCCATTCATCTATCAGTGCACACTTGGGCAGCTTCCATAGCTTGGCTATTGTAAATAATGCTGCAATGAACATAGGGGTGCATGTATTCCTTTGAATTAGGGTTTTTGTATTTCTGGGAGGTAAATGCCAAGTAGTGCAATTACTGGATCATAGGGTAGTTCTATTTTTAACTTTTTGAAGAACCAGTTTGCATTCCCACCAACAGTGCAAGAGAGTTCCTTTTTTTCCAAGCACTCACCAATCTTTGTCATTTCCTGTGTTTTTTATTTTAGCCATTCTGACTTGTGTGAGGTAATATCTCATTGTAGTTTTGATTTGCATTTCCCTGGTGATTAGTGACATCGAACATCTTTTCATGTGTCTGTTGGTCATCTGCATATCTTCTTTGGAGAAATGTCTGTTCATGTCTACTGCCCATTTTTTAATTGGATTATTTGTTTTTTGGGTGTTGTATCAGTTCTTTATATATTTTAGATACTAACCCTTTGTGGGATATGTCATTAGCAAATATCTTCTCCCATTCCTAGGTTGCCTTTTAGTTTTGATTGTTTCCTTTGTTGTGCAGAAGATTTTATTTTGATGTAGTCCCAATAATTTATTTTTGCTTTTATTTCCCTTGCCTCAGGAGACATATCTAGAAAGAAGTTGCTATGGCCCGATGTCAGAGAAATTACTGCCTGTGCTCTCTTCTAGGATTTTTATGGTTTCAGGTCTCACATGTAGGTGTTTTATCCATTTTGAGTTTATTTTTGTGTATGGTGAAAGAAGGTGGTCCAGTTTCATTCTTTTGCATGTAGCTGTCCAGTTTTCCCAACACCATTTGTTGAGGAGACGGTCTTTTTCCCAATGTATATTCTTTCCTCCTTTGTCAAAGATTAATTGACCATATAATTGTGGATTTATTTCTGGGTTTTCTCTTCTGTTCTATTGATCTATATGTCTGTTTTGTGCCAGAACCATATTGTTTTGCTTACTACAGTTTTGTAATAGAACTTGAAGTCTGGAATTGTTATACCCCCAGTTTCGTCTTTCTTTTTCAAAATGTCTTTACTATTCAGGGTCTTTTGTGGTTTCATGTAAATTTTAATATTGTTTGCTCTAGTTCTGTGAAAAATACTGTTGGTTTTTTGATACAGATTGCATTAAATTTGTAGACTGCTTTGGGTAATATAGACATTTTAATAATATTCTTTCAATCCATGAGCGTGGAATGCCTTTCCCTTTCTTTGTGTCCTCTTTAATTCTTTCATCATTGTTTTATAGTTTTCAGAGTACAGTTTTCATCCCTTTGGTTAAGTTTATTCATAGGTATTTTATTATTTTTGGTGTAGTTGTAAATGGAATTGTTTTTGTAAACAGATGTTTATGTATGCAAGTGGAACATGGACAAATGTTTTCTTCTTTCAACTTGCACTGGTAGAAAGTGAGTAAAGGTCTTGCTTTGGATAGTGTAAAGTATCAGACACAAGAGAATATGGCCAAATGCTGCTGTTCACAAGATATATCCCCCCACAGAAGTTTACATTTTACTCAATATGCTGAGTCCTGCCCTCCCAAAAAAAGAGAAAGCAGGCAATTTGCCTTAAATGAACATAAACGAATAAACAAAAAACCCCTCAAATCTGGCAAATCTGAAAAGGCACCCCATGGAGATAAAGGTCTGCTGGAAAATGATTATGTGTTGGGTTGGAAGAAGGCAGAAGGCTTGAGCAGGGCTCCATGTAGAGCATGTTGCTGCAAACTGACAACAAGCCTGGGATCCGCTATCCTGAGACAGCCATGGACAAGCATGTGTTCTGTCAGTGCCCACTTCAGGCAACATCTGGTGATGTGGGAAGTGGGGCTAGTTTTAGTTGGTGGGGAAACATTATCAGAAAAAAAAAAAGAGAGCAAGGCCCTGGGCACATGAGACTATCTTCAGGAGGGAACTAGGGTGTCTTTCCTAGGACTCCTGAGACTGAGCTTTGAGGAAAAAGCCACCACGATCAGCTAACATTCACTTAAAACTTCACTTTTGAATCAATTGGAGAAAGTTGAGATAAGTCACAGTACTATTAAATGATCAGAGGTGAAAGGATCTTAAAGATGATCTAATTCAACCCCTTATAAGAAACAGGGAAATGACTTATCTACCATCATACAACCAGGGTCAAAGCCATAATCCAGGTTTCCTAGTGTCTACTCCAGTGCTGCTTCTACAAGCCACACCCCTACTCCCATTTTTTTGTGTTTTTTTTGTTTTGTTTTGTTTTGTTTTGTTTTGTTTTAAGGTGAGCTCTACACCCAACATGCGGCTTGAACTCAGACCCTGAGATCAAGAGTCGCATGCTCTACTGACTGAGCTAGCTGACACCCCTCCCATGTTATTTTTTGAGGTGCTAAGGAATGCAAGGCTCTCTCTGCTGTTATTATATTAAAAATCAGGGTAAAGGAAGCTCACAGTGGAGATATACATAGCCTCCCCCATATGTTCTCTGTTTCCCCTGCTTCTTTAAAAAAAATAAACATTTAAAAGTCCATTCCTCTGTTAGCCACACAAGATGGAACATCTGTAGAACCTATCTGTAGAACCTATCTCTTTTGGGCAAGCCGACTGGCTGATGCACTAGAGTGGAAACTCTCATGGAAATTTCTCTTAGAAGGAAACAGATGGTTCTCCGGGGACTAGTTCTAAACACAATATTGAACATTTACTATAGAAAGGAGAACATTTTTTCTAATAATATTTCTAAAAAGTTTCCCTGAAACCTTTTGACCTTTAGTCTTATTTATTTCTTAGTAGAGCCTAATACTCTCAAAAATCCTGGATGTTCATTCCACATTAGATGTATGTCTGTCTTGCTTGCTTTGGATTAATTTGATTTGGGAAAGGAGGGGGTAATTTTCCATTCTTCAGACAACAGCTCACTTCTACACATTGTCTCCTACTCTTACATCCTCCTATCAAATTGTAGGCATGAGGAATTTCCAAGATGTTAATTTGGCCACCATGCATGCTCATTGATTTATATAGCTTCTGACTTCAGTATATTTACAGGCCCCCAAATCCAGAAGGGCTCTTATTTTTGTCCCTGAAAGATGTTTCTGTGAGTAGATACCTGTTTCTAAACTGACATCCATCTGTTATCTCTGGTTGGGTGCTCACAAGCTATCAATAAACATACAAGAAAAACACCTGGTTAGAATTCACCATCTGCCATTTTTGCTTCCACGCTGGAGAATTAGGCAATTTACTGCAATCGGGTTTGATAAAGGAGGGTGGAGGATGATTAAAAAATTCAATCATAATGAATATCAGATCCATCCAACATAGTTTGAAATCTACCAGAACAGGGGCATCTGGCTGGCTCAATCAGCAAAGCATGTGACTGGATCTCAGGGTTGTGAGTTCAAGCCCCACGTTGGGTGTAGAGCCTACTTAAGAAAGGAAGGAAGGAAAGGGAAGGGAAGGGAAGGGAAGGGAAAGGATCTACCAGAATAACTCCTAGCAGTTACAAACACAGCTTATATAAGTATAAGCTATATGGGGGTAAAATTCTATCACCTCTTTTCTGATTCTAAAGCAGGAACTTACACAAGAAGGCTTGCTTGAGTGAAGTTCCTATGTTCATGTATCCTCTTTCTAATCAGTACTTGCTCTAGGTGCAGCCATCCAGGATTGACAGCTGTGTGTTTTCATATGAAGAATATTGCATGTTTTGAGACCTTAGTGTGTGAAGAGCAGAATGGTGAGGAGGTAGCATTTCATAAGGAAGGCCTCACCTAAACTGACCAGTGGTGACTTGCAGGCTTCTGTGGGAATGAAAGTCTTATAGGTATGGTAATGGTGGGCCTGCCTTATTACAGGAAGCTGGAGACAACAACCAGTTCTGTTGGAGGAACCTCTTTTCCTGCATTAACCTTCTGAGGCTGCTCAATAAACTGACCAAATGGAAGCATTCCAGAACCATGGTGAGTGGGGTTTCAGATCATAGAGGTGTCCATCTGACTGAATTTTTTAAATCTTAAATATTTATGGACTTCCTGCTTTGTGAGCTCTATAGACAGACAATGAATGCTACATAAGGTGAACACCTAATTCTGGGTACTTGATCTATATGAGATAATTATTCACCAGTCCATTTCTTTACAAGGAGCTAAATATGGACCCTCCCCCAGGGCCGCTCTGGTTGGAAAGTTAGCATTGTTGTTTGGATTACAAGCACACATCCCAAATGATGCAAGTCTAAGATTATTCATTGCAGCATAAATCATGAACGATTGGAAACAATCTAAAGCCTATTAATACAGGACCAACTGGTTAAATAATTTTGGTACATCCTTATAATAGAATATTATACAACCATTAAAAAGAATGAGGCTGGAAAAAAAAGAATGAGGCAGTTCTATATTGATACGGAATAATTTTTTAAGATATATTGTTAAATAAAAAGCAAGGTATGGAACAATGTGACAGGATATGTAGTTGGCTGTGGTTTTTGTTAATAAAAATATGTGAATATAGAATTATGTATCCAGAAGATACATAAGAAACTGATAACAGTAGAAATGGGATGTGTGTCTGACAAAATTATTTTGCTCTTTATATCACATACTTTGAATATTAGAAACTTTGAATTGTGACATATAATTGTGACATCTAAATATAAATAGAACCTGAACCATAGATTCCCAGGGTATTGAGACCAGTCAGGTTTGGCTTAATTTGTTTGCGAGTTGGAAGTTCCAAGAAACGTTAGATCCTTATCTGCCTTTCTTCACTCTCACCCCTCTTTAAATGGGTAGATGCTGGTGGTATTCAAATCAGCTCCAATCTTAAAGCGAGCCCTCAAGGTCAAACAGGCCATGCTGCAACTTTATGTTCTGAAGCTGCTAAAAATACAGACCAAGTACCTGGGGCGCCAGTGGAGAAAAAGTAACATGAAAACCATGTCAGCCATCTATCAGAAAGTACGCCACCGCATGAATGATGACTGGGCTTATGGGAATGGTGAGTATTTTCAGAGCTCTTGACCTCCAGGAGTTGCCCAGGGTTTAAACAAAACTAAATAAGGGGCACCTGGGTGGCTGCCTTCAGCTCAGGTCCTGATCTCAGGGTCCTGGGATCAAGCCCCTCCCACCCCTCTGTTGGGTTCCAGGGTCAGTGGGGAGTCTGCTTCTCCCTCTCCCTTTGCCCCTCCCTCCCCACCTCTCGTGCTTTCTCTCACATGCTATCTCTCAAATAAATAAAATCTTTAAAAAAATAAAACTAAATAAACATTTATCTCTACTTTTTTGGTATAAATGGTTACACAGTTTAGATGAGAAAATATGTATGTAATTATAGTCAGGTGCTGATATAACAAACTTTAGGGTTACTGCCCCAAATTCTAGCATGTGCCCTGGTCCTATATTAACTATAAAAATCCATTTTAGGGTGGCTCAGTTGGTTTAGCGTCCAACTCTTGGTTTTGGCTCAGGTCATGATCTAATGGCCATGGGATCAAGCCCCATGTGGGACTCCACTCTCAGCAGAGAATCTACTTGAGATTCTCTTCCTCTGCCCCTCCCCCCACTTGCACATGCATGTGTAGGCTCTCTTTAAAATAAATAAATAAATCTTTTTTAAGAATCCATTTTACAGGGGCGCCTGGCCGTCTGGCTCACTCAGTAAAACATGCAACTAGTGATCTCAGGGTTGTGAGTTCGAGCCCCACACTGGGGGTAGAATTTGCTTAAAAAGATTTCCATTTTATAAAACAGGTAAATTAAGAGATAATTACCTCCTTTTGAAAACATTCCTTTAAATGACAGGTTTCTCCAAGAGATTTCTAAAATTAAAATAACCTTTTATTATTAAAAAGCAGTTAGAAAAAGAAAAATAAAAAACAGCTTTCCCTGCTGGCTTAGTCGGAAGAGCACATGACTCTTGATCTCAGGGTTGTGAGTTCGAGCCCCAAGTTGAATGTAGAGATTACTTAAATAAATAAACTTAAAAAAAAAAAGGCAATTAGAAAATACAAGTCAGAAAACTTTTTACTATATCACCATATTTATGCCTTATTTGTACCACCTGAAGATTGCCACTGTTAACATCTTATTGTATATTTTTCCAGACCTTTTTCTTTGCATATATACACATTTTACTTAAATGATAGCAAATTATACATACTATTTCATCATCTTTTTTCAGTTAACATTGTCTACATCTTTCTATATCAGTATGTTTTCATTTTATCTAGTAAGTCCATATTCAGAATTCCCCAGTTGTCCCAAAATGTTCTCTTTTTGTAAGTTTTATTTATTTAAGTAATCTCTACACCCAATGTGGGGTTCAGTCTCATGACCCCATGACCAAGAGTCACACTCTTCTGACTGAGCCAGCCAGGCACCCACCAAAATGTTCTTTAAAGCTATTTTTTTCAAGTCATAATCCAACCCAGGGCCACAAATTTCATCTAGTTGTTCTATCCTTTAATTTGTAAAACCTAGCAGTGTTTTGTTTCCACTTTTTTTCCATAATGCTGACTAATTGAAAAACTAGGCCAGTTGTCCTGCTGAATATCCACCTTCTGGATTTAGAAATGGCATCATTTGCCTTATCTCTCTATCTCTAGTGTTACTAGTAAACTGAAAGTTAGATCCAGAGGTTCGATGGATTCAGTTTAAACATTTTCAGCTATAGTACGTTTGAGGTACCATTGGGAATTGCATATTGTCTCACATTAGGAGACATTATAATATCTGGTTGACTACCAAGATATGATAGATTAACCAAGTTTGGAAGAATTTATTTTGGAGAACTTTTTCATTGTACTGACATTTGCTGTAGTGGGATTTGACCATTATTTGCATAATTGTATTTAAGAGTTTTTGGTAAAGATAACTAAAGACTTGTTTTTGCTGAGGTTTGTAACCTGCCTAAATTTTAGAGAATGCCGAAGTAAAAAACCCACAAAAGTAAAGGAAATATATGATTGGCAGGTAGCAAGCCAGGATGCAACTTCTATGAGACATAAAGCCAATTAACTATTTAAATTCTTATAGATTTTTAAAACATATAAATGTTTTATCTTGCAAATGGCGTAACTATTGTCGCTGCCATCATGAAGACAAACCCAATCTACACTTCCTTAAGATAAACCATTAAGGGGCATCTGGCTGGCTCAGTCAGTAGAGCATGTGACCCTTGATCCTGGGGTCATGAATTCAAGCCCCATATTGGATGTAGAGATTACTTAAAAAAATAAAATCTTTATGTTTTTAAAAATTTTTTTTATTTGACAGAGAGAGCTCACAAGCAGGGGGAGCAGCAGGCAGAGGGAGAGGGAGAAGCAGGCTCCCCACTGAGCAGGGAATCCAATCCCAGGGCCTGAGTTGAAGACCGATGCTTAGCCAACTGAGCCACTCAGGCACCCCCAAAATAAAATCGTTAAAAAAAAAAAAAGATAAACCATTGAGTGTGGGACATAAGAAATCTGGGAAAGCTGTATCTCTAGCCCTGAAATAAGTGTCTGAGTAGGATAAATAGAAGAAAGCAGATTATCTGTTTTCTGTTTTTACCTTCATGGAAGCTTTCACCTCATAATTTTAACATACGCTGACACATACATTTATCATATGCTGGGAGAGGTCACAGGGAATCAGTAAAGTCTTCAGTAATTGGTCCATTCTGATTCTCCTTGTTGGACCTCTTCTTGCCTCTTTCCATTCCTTGAGAGCTCGTGATTCCATTCAAATGGGTAACTCCCATACCCTAGGAAAGCTCAGTAAAAGGAATTGAGTTGCCATTTTGAAAAATATAATACATATAACTAGTAAGAAAGTGAAATAATGAAAAGGAAGTACAGTAAAAAAAAAAAGTCCACCTCCCTCAGGGGCCTTATTTCCTTCTCAGTGGTAATCACTGTTAGCAGTTTCTAGACTACCTTTCCAAAGATAGTCTCTGCATATACAAGTGTATTTTTTAAACTGAAGTGACAGCATATTATACACTTACTTTGTACATTGCCCTCCACAAAAAGGAAATTCTGAGCAGTTTCACTATTCTTATCCCATAGACCATACTCTGTGGTAAGAGGAGCAGAGTCCTGAGTTGTATACATGTTCTTCTTCCTCTCTTCCCCATACAGACATCGATGCCAGGCCATGGGACTTCCAAGCAGAAGAATGCACCTTGAGGGCCAACATTGAGGCTTTTAACAGCCGCCGGTATGACAAACCCCAGGACTCTGAATTTTCACCTGTAGATAACTGCTTGCAGAGTGTGCTGGGGCAGAGGTTGGATCTGCCTGAGGATTTCCACTATTCATATGAGCTCTGGCTGGAGAGAGAGGTGTTTTCACAGCCCATCTGTTGGGAGGAGCTGCTCCAGAATCACTGACTGAGCTCTTAACAACAAAACATCTGATAGATGGGCTTAGGCTCCAATAAATGGTGCTCTGCCTACCCTGCCCATTCAGCCTTTGTTTCCAGGTCTGGGAGTGCTTGTCCAGGGGAAAGCTGGGCTAGCCCAAGGACATCCAGTGTATTGCAGGGCCATTCTGGAGGCTTTGGGCCTGGTGATAGTGCAAGGCTAGGATCCCGAGTCACAACAAATTGGTCAACTTGCACTGGGGTCAGTTGGGTGCCCAGTTGGCCTTGAAAATCTACTGGATCAGTCCTGGACAGGCTCTGTAGTGGGACTGCTCCCTGCTTTAGTCTTGCCCAGAACCAGGCTAGCCTTTGCTGACCCCAAGAGTGAGAATAAGTTTATAATGGCATTTGACCCATGACATTCATCATAGGTAATGGGAGAGACAAGTCATAAAATAGGGAGAACATTTCCTTCTTGCTTACCCTGGATTCCTAGGACTTAAAAGAGGTTTGGCAAAGCCATCTTTGAAATTAAGTCTGTATTTTAAATTAAAAATTTTGACACCTCTTTCTAAAATTATTAGCTCAAAGATGATTTTAGAGCACCTGCACCTTCTTTGTAAAGGATAATGATTTACTATTACCTAAATACTGCATGTTATAGTAAAGTATATTGTGTAAAGTTTTTTTTCTCTACTCCTAAAGAGATCTATGTTCAATCTGAAAATTATTTCTCTGTGTATTGTGTATAGGGCATGCAGTGCTCTGCCACAGCCAGTCTGAAATAGGCCTCCTCTAAGGATGTTTCATGCTTTTCTGAAACTACTTCAGTCTTCAAATGACTGAGTACACTGTAAAAAATTATCCTTTTCATCCAATTCATTTTTTAAATGACAAGTAACTACAGGAGGTTTTATTTATTGAGATGGCTATGTCCATTTGTGCTCATGATCGATTTATTTTTTAATTGAATAGAATAGCAACAGCATCACAGCTTACCATTTTTCTATGTTGATCAATGATTTTTTTTTCCCTTTTTACTGCGAGTACTTTCAAAGTGTCGTATGGAGATTTAGCAATATACTGTTCCTACCTAAAAGTATTGCACACTTCTTTGAAAATACAGGGGTTGATAATATCAACCTCTTTAAACTTCTTTTACAGCAGAATCACATATTTGTCAGGGCGCCTGGATGGCTCAGTCAGTTAAGTGTCTGACTCTTGATTTTGACTTGGGTCATGATCTCAGGGTCATGAGCTGGATCTGCATCCCCACATCCTGCTGGGCTCCGCACTCACTGGGGAGTCTGCTTGAGATTCTCTCTCTCTCTTCCTCTGTCCCTCCCCTTACTCCATACATACTCTGTCTCTCTCTAATAAATACATAAATCTTTAAAAAAAATCACATACTTCTCAACAGAAACAAGGTTTTTAGAAAAGCTTCTGATTCGATCAGGATCATTTTATTTCTCTTCTGTCACCACAATTATGTCATCTATATTTTCAAGCTTTTTTATTTTAAGTGCCCTCCCCCCTGATATAGACATTACTGAATCTTTTTTATGATAGCACCAGGCCACTTTAATTGTGCCAGGAGGTCTAGTAAAAAATGGCTTACTCTGTCAACCACAGTCTCATTTGGAAGTCATGGTACAGTTATTAACGATATCTAAAGGAACTAGACCAGAACTCTAACTAAAGCTTGGATTTTACCTTTTTGAGCTTTAAGGTAGCAGGACTTCTGTTTTTATGGAAAGGTAATGAAGAATGTAAGTATGTAATGGATGACATTTCTTAAAATAATTTGTAAATTTTACCTGAGTAAGACAGCTGTCCTCGCTGCAATCAAAGTAATTCACTGAGCCTATCATCTATGAACCCTATTAATCTATTTTAATGTGGTTTAACTGAAAAGACAATTTTCAAGGAAAGAGCAGTCATCAATCTATTTCTCTTAAAGCCATATAGTATTTAGTTTGTGTCAAGAACAAATAAGTTGCCCTTTTAAAAATATGCACATGAATGCTTTCTGAGGCATAGAAGTATGCTAAGCTTTAACATTTCATACTTTTTTACAAGTCTTCTCTTAAGGGAAGATTAATTCTCAGTGCAGATGGAGAAACTGAGATACCAAGAAAAGTGATTAGTTTCAAATCACAACCTTTTTTTGCTGACTTGCTGGGATAGCATTCAGGTATTGACAGCCAGCCCCATATGTTAAAGTAACTGATTTGAATCTTCCAATTTGAGAACCCATGTGTGTGGTTAGGAATAAATTCAGATTAACCAACCTCCAATGGTGATTACTGTTACTACTTAGAAGGACATTATTTGAGTGATTTATAGAGGATTTTTATTTGTGAATACTTCAGTAAAGTTTGTGTTGTTGATAACACTGTTTATCTACTGAAAGCACTTTAATAAAAAGAAATTGAACTGGAGTTAGAAATTTGGTCTTTAATTCAACATAAAAGAGTCTTAAAGACAGATATAGAAAGGAATAATATATAAAGAAGATGAATATATAAAATCTTGTGTATTCCCTGGGGGTAGACTAATATAAACACAACCGCAAAATCTCAATGGCTTATAACAAACCTTTATTTCTTCTTTCTGGGTCTGGGGATCAGCTGCAGCTCTGCTCCACTCAGGTTAACTTGCTAGATTTAGCTCTGCTCCACACATCATCTTATTCTGGCATGAGGCTGATGGAATAGCTCCTGCCTGGGACAAAATCTCATGGTAAAGGGCAGAAGCAAGCACCAAACCATACCATGCAAGCACCTGGAGGGTGCTTAAAGCTCCTGCTTGGATGTGGCATAAGTCATACTTACATACTTTTTGCTCATACTCCATGGGCAAAAAGCCATTCACATGGGGCAAACCTAACACTGGGCCAGAGAAGTACATTCTACCTACGGAAGGCAGTTGCAACCAGGCATATGGGTAGACAGTGAGTCACAGCAGCTTCTCAGTGAAATTTTGAGATTGGTGGTAGGGCTTTCTTAGAGATTCTTGAGAATTTCCACAGCTCTCCAGTTTGCATTTGAAACCACCCATTTTTCAGTGCTTTATGCTGATATTTTCAGCTGTGACTTTCTTGACTTTTGTGTACATAGTACCCCCAGCTCTTCATCTAATAATAATCTTGGTTCTATAAAGACAATTCTAGAAACAAATGAGTGTTTTGATGGTCTCTTTTTCTCCCACAAGTAGTTGTGATGAGTTTGAAGTCTTTCCTCTAGGCCTTCTTGAGATGACCTATATTTGCAATAAAACTAGCTGAGACTAAATATGCAGCTGTAGTTCTGGAACAAAAATGACACTGGTTCATACAACCATCAGACTTGTGACTTTGATCTCATCAGTGCTATTATTGACGTGCTAAGTAATCACCTTATTATCCAGGCTAGGTCAAGTGTGAACTTGGCAACTCTTTGGCACTCTGCGAAGGTGCTAAGTATGTTTAGGGTAATTTGTGGAGGCAAAGAAAGTCCTGCCACTATCTCAGAAATACTGGGCATGGTCAATTAACATCTGCTCTACGTATACTATAATTCCAGGCCAGACTTTTCTGTAATGGTATGATAAAATGTTTTCTGTAATAAAAATGTCTTACAAAATATTATGGAATTTATAAACAACTTTTGTGAAACACCAGTCAGTTTTAGAGCAGCTACTGCTATTCTTACATGTATTCAATACTAATACATATTTTAATGGATATTTTATATGATGCTTTTCAACACGAGAGATATCAAATACATACATACATACATACATAAAATATATTTTAGAGTAAAAATGTCTACAGCATGATTTTATTCTCTATACATTAAATAAAACTTTTGTCTGCCTCTTGGCCTCCTGCTTTCTCATTTTCTCTCAACCAAAAAAAAAAAAACAGAAGAATATAGTGATAGTGAAGAAAATTGCCTCCCGTATAATCCCACCACTCAACAGTGAGCTATTTATATGGTGGCAGTTTAACAATATAAGGAATTGTGTAATCTCTAAAATAGGGTAGAGCAAAGGGCTAGATCAAAGCTCTGTCTATATTGGCAGAGCATTTTGTACAGCAACATGCAAATACTTCTGGAAATGTTGGCATGGGTAAGTCCTAATTGGTGGTTTTGGGGAAAGCACATGAGTTATTTTACTCATTTTTTTCCACTAATGAATTTTCAGTGGCCTCTGGTATTCCTTCAGAAGTCCTGGTATGGAAAGTTTATAGAAGGTAAGTCCTGAGTACTTTATACTTTCAAACACCTTTTCCGGGTGAATGCATTTTCTAAATGTTTGGCTATTCTAATGTTAGCCTTAAAATGTTAAACCTCAATATTTGGAAGATTTTTCACGGAAATGTATTCTTGCGTTGAAGGGATCAGATCATCTAAGACAATCTCCATCCAACCAAGAATTCCTTTAATTAGTATCAGCTACATGTTTATCTAGCCTCTAATCTTTTCACTGACAGTAATCTCACTATGTCATAGATTCAGTAGTAATAACTGAAATGTCTACAAAAGAATTAACTACCTCAATACAATCAACTTATGGTATTATTTGAGCCAGAAGAAACATGAATACATTTATGGAATCCAAACAACGGACATTAGTTATTAATTGTACTTTCTTCCCCACGTATTCGTTTCCCAGGGCTGCTGTAACAAGTCACCAGAAACTGGGTGGCTTAAAACAAGAAAAATATATTCTCTCACAGTTACAGGGGCCAGAAGTCTGAAATCAAGGTGTCAGCAGGACTCACTCCCTCCAAAGTCTCTAATCATTTCCTTGCCTCTTCTAGCTTCTGGCAGCTTCTGGCTTCATGTCACTCCAGTTTCTGCCTCCGTGGTCACATGGCTTCCTCTTCTCTCTCAAAAGTCCCTCTGCTTCTCTCTTCTAAGGATACCTCTGATTGATTTGAAGACCCGTCAGGATAATCCCGGGTAAGCTTCTTTTCTCAAGAGCCTTCATTACATCTTTGCCATATAAGGTAATATTCACTCTTTTGCTATTAAGGTAGTATTCACAGTTTTTGAGGATAAGGACATGGACATATCTTTTGGGAGGCCACCATTCAACCCACTACACCCACGAACAATCATCAGACATGTAGTAGCAAAATTGATTAATTTACTTTTATATCATTATTA